GAGCACTTCCGGGTTCGACTTATCGCGTCCAGACTAGACGCGATAAGTCGAACCCAGAAGTTCGATCGCTCGCCGCCGAACTACCGGGTAAGTGTAGCCAAGGCCTATGAGTCTATGAATCTATTGACCAACTCGAATTGCAGGCTTTTCTGAAAGAGATTTCTGGAGAAATGTCAAATGCATGGTTGATGTCGTTATTTTCTTGTCCGAAAGAAACTTGGCATTTCAAGGAAGTAATGAAAAGCTCGGCGATCCTTCAAATGGCAACTTTTGGGGACTGTTTGAATTGCTTGCAAAGTATGATACTGTCCTCAGCGAACTTTTACAGAGGATTAAAAAGGCAGAGACACATGTTCAGTACCTCAGTCCACAGATCCAAAACGAGCTGATTCAACTTGTTGCCAGTAACATTCAAGAGGCCAACATAGCGCAGCTTAAAAAAGCAAAATATTATTCAGTTATTTTGGACTGTACTCCTGACGTGTCACATGAAGAAAAGATGTCTGTGGTGTTACGCTTTGTTGAATGCAACGGTGAAGATGGTGTCAATATTTGTGAAGCGTTTGTTGGTTTTCTTAATGTTCATGATACAACTGGCAAGGGCTTATTGGAAGCGTTTCTTGAAAAGGCAAACAATTTAGGAAGACATTGCTGACATGAGAGGCCAAGCTTATGATAACGGCGCAAATATGAGAGGAAAGAATAAAGGAGTTCAAGCCCGCATGCTAGAAATAAATGACCATGCCTTGTATGTACCATGTGGAGCTCACACTTGGAATCTTGTGATCTCAGACGCAGCAAAGTCATCGAAATATGCCATTGACTTTTTCGGTCTGATTAACAGAATATACGTTATCTTTTCTTCTTCACCTTCATGTTGGGATATACTTCAAGAACATATGCCAATATCTGTTAAAGGGTTATCGGACACTCGTTGGGAGTCGAGAATTGATGCTGTGAAGCCATTGCGTTATCACCTTGAAGAATTGTGCAATGCTTTGTCATCTTTGCGAGAATATGCACTCGAAAAGAAAGATGGCAATACAGCAACAGAAGCCAGTGCGCATTTAGACCATGTTACTACGTGGCCTTTTGTTCTGACTGTGTACACGTGATACGATATACTATTTCACGTCAATAAAACCAGCAAATTAATTCAGTCACCAGATGTGTCAATTGACGTACTGCAGGCAGAAGTCGGTGCTACAAATAAGTTTTTGGAAGACTATCGAAATACAGGATATATCTCTGTGGTCACAAATGCACGTGAAATAGCAGAGCATATGGGTATTGAGCAGGTGTTTCCAGAAACCAGAGTGCGACATAAGAAGAGAATGTTTGATTACGAATGTGCTGATGATTCGAGTCGTCTTTCTGCCGAAGAAAAATTCAAATCGCAGTTCTTTCTTGTTCTCACTGATCAGGCTATATCTTCTGTTTCGTCGCAATTTGACCAACTCATGGAGTGGTATAAGTTGTTTGGATTTCTGCACAACGCTAACAGCCTGAAGCAGTGTCACAGAGAAAATGAACTGGAGAATCACAGCAAAAATTTTGAAAGAAAAATGGGAGACATTGATGCCAACAAACTCATAATGGAATTGAATAGTTTTATTTATGTCATCAAGAAAGAGAGAGGACTTGTCACGGCAAACAATTTTTTAACATACATATACAAGAACAGCCTTCAGGAGATATATCCAAATCTTTGCATTTGCATCAGAATTCTTCTGACCACACCAGTTACTGTCGCTGGTGCTGAAAGAAGCTTCAGCAGAATGAAACTGATCAAGAATATCCTGCGCTCAACCATGACAGATGACAGGCTTTCTGTGCTTGCAGTTATCTCAATTGAAAACAAGATTGCCAGATCTCTGGACTATGACGCATTGATTAACCAATTTGCGGAGAACAAGGCTTGAAAGAAGCGCTTTGCGTAAATACGGAATACATGTACACTGTAGGCCTATGTATACATAATATGAACCCTGTATATTGTATAAAATAAATACCGCATTCCAGTTTCTGCATTGCATCCGCCCGGACATATGTTCGGAGGGGCCATGTTCTTTGTTGCTACGGCCCTGGATGGTTCTGTGTGATTTCAATGGCAGCATCTTCTAGAATACATTGCAATAATCTAATCTGGAGGTGATAAAATACATGGATAACTGTGGCAACGTCCATGTCTCATGGACAATGTCCCATCTTAATGAAAAGATTGTGAAAACTTGCTCTTGGCTATTCTTGCTATTTGACTTTCTGAAAAGTCCAACATTACCCCCAGATTGTAGGCCTTCTTAAGAAAAGGCAAACAAGCTCCCTCTAGATATCAAGTACTAGAGCTGAGCAAAATCATTAGTTATTTGATTCAGTGACCAAACTGAAAAATATGGTGGGGGGGGGGGGGGAGGATAAAGTTTGGATTGACACAAAGTTCTTTTCAGGTCTCGGCAAAACATTCAACTGGAAATTATTTTTTTTAAATAAGTCTAGCTAAATTTTGAAATGAAAATGCAAGTTTCCTTTCAAAAATGTTGGAACTAAACATTTTGACTTTTTTGAAGAAGAAAAAGAAGAAAAAAAAACTGGACAAAATTTGCCAAATACGGAGCAAATTCACAAATAGCTTTGGTCAACTTGAAACTACATTTTTCAGCAAATAAGCTTTGTCTGTAATATTTTGCCCAGCTCTGTCAAGAACATATCCAGAACATGTTAGGTGAGACTATGCAGTACCAATGTTTTATCTTCATGCTACCTTAAGCCAGTTTGTCTCAGGTCACTGTATCTCTGCTGCTGCTGACTGTCTGAGCTGCTGGTTTCTTATGTAGGTAGTTAATCTGTGAGCATGAGCCGCTCCGGGTGTCTGCATTAAGACATTAGTCTTTTCTCTTTCTAAGGGAAAGAAGGTGGGTGATGTAATATCTTTTATTGGATCAACTTCTGTGGAAGGGACAAGCTTGTCTCTCATATCCTCAGACCAACGCATCTACAACAACAATGGTTAGTTTCACTCTGTCCTTTCATGTTAAACGTTTTCCTTTTTCCATTCTATTATCTCTCCATTATCCTGTTTCTATGCCTATCTCCTTCTGTATCTCTCTCCTCTCCTGTTCCTCTGTTTCACATTTCCCTCCATATTTCTCTCATTTCTCTGACAGCAGATCAGTCTGTTTTTCCATGTCCTCCCTCAACCCCATTTCCTGTCAGATCAGTAACGTTATTTGACGGTATCAATATTGACTCCATTGCCAATGGAGTTTCCAGTGGGGAATTAAAACCCAGGACAATTTGCACATCACAACAAGATACACACTGTTAATATTATAAATCTTTGCTAGGAGGTTTTCATATGAAGTTCTGACAAAAAACAATTGTCAAATCCAAATTTATTTAGTTAGAGTCCAAAAGTGAATTTACAATTAATCCCCTCCTACACACACATCCCACTTCATTAAACACCTTCTCTTGGTTTAAGGTCACCATGGTAGTCTGCTAACTTAACTGTGCTCAGGCTAGAACTATTGTTTTTTAGATTGCTTTTCTTTACTCCCAGGAAGTTGGTTAGCATGTGGGGGAACTAATTGAAGAAGGATAATCTGAGTGTGTCTCCTTAACAAGTATTCTGTGTACACAATCTATGGTATAAAACATTCACGGACAAAACTGGATTTTAAAGCACATTCTCAAGGACCTTTACTGCTCTCAGGGGAAAAAATACCATATACAAATGGCATCAACATTTGGCAGAGTAACAGTTAAAAATATTTGTCTGAAAGACTAACCTCAGTACCATATGTCATAGAATAGCTGATAGACTGTAGTTGTAAAGCTGTCAGTAATTTCCCATTTCTCAGTGATGTAGGCACAGTATATCTTTAGCAATGCTTCTTTGCAAGTCTCCAACCTCTCCTGTAATGCTGTGCAGGTACATTAAATCTAATTATGTATTAATGTTCTCTTCCTGATCCAACATAAAGTCATTTGCTATAGAACCTTTGATTATTATTAATAGTAGCAGTATGGTAGCACTTAGGAACCCTAGTTAAGGACCAGGACCCCATTGTGCAAACAAAACAAAAAGACAGCCCCCATCCCGAAAAGCTTACAATCTAACTTGTCTTCCCTACCAGGGAGATCGATGCTGCTGCAATCGATGCAGCAGGTGTCAATTTAATGGATCTAATGAAGACCCACTAAGTCGATGGCAGAGTGCTCTCCGGGCAATCCCAGTACTCCAGCTCCCCAAGAAGAGTAAGGGAAGTTGACCGGAGAGCTGGAGTACCGTCAGTATAGACACTGGGGTAAGTCAACCTAACCTATGCCATTATTCACATAGCTGGAGTAGCATAAATTAGGTTGACTTACCCTGGTAGTGAAGATAAGGGTCCTGAGTGTAAGACGGGAGACAACAGAAGGAGACAGACAGGGAAGTACAAGGAAACGATTAGACATTTTGGTCAGCGTGGTGTAGGCTGTGGTCTGAGCACACCAGCTGCCTAGCAGTTGTCAAATCTTGTGTATGCTCCATGGCAAAAGAGCATTTTAAGGCAGAAAAAGCCATATGGGATCATTAAAAACCTGCCCTGGTCAAACCCCATTATATAAACTAAAGCTTGGATAACTTCCTAGTAGAGCAGAAGAAAGAATTTAAAAGAACCCCAAGGGATTGTTTATATATAAGAAAGGCCAGATAGTGGCATTTATATACCACCTGCCTAGAGCCACGCCTTCCCATGGGGAACTCTGAAAGAGTCAGTGTCTTACTCTTCCTCCTCATGCAACTGCACAAGGGCTAGTCACAGCTAGGCACAATGGTTACAGGGAAAATTGTGGTGGCTCTGGGCTGCTGCTAAGGGACATAGCCAGGAATTAGACTCAAAGACACCCTCCCCTGCATGGCCTCCCTGGATCACCACTGTAGTCACAGAGGCGAAAACAGGGGCTATAAACCAGGTACACCTGCTTTGGGATGAGGGAGGAGAGATGCAAGGAATGGGTGGAGCTCCAACCCAGCACACCTCCTACAACAGCTGAATCTTGTAGGTCAGAAGTTAAATCTGCTGCTAGCCTTGGGACAAGTGGGGGAGCAGGGAAGGAATTCTTCCCAGGGCTCATCCTTGTGTGTGTAACAACCCAGAGCTACCCCGCTGCTTCCAAGCACACTCTGCCATGTCCAGTCTTCTTTAAAACACTTATTTGCTTAAAACAGGCAAGGAAACAAACAGAGAACAGTCTTAACTCTGTCCTTTGTCTCAGACTTCAGGTCACCTCTCCCAGGGGTCTCTAAAACTGGGAAGCTGCCAGGAGCAGGAATGCCAGTAAGTTCTGCTCCCTTCCTGGAGCAGCAGCCCAGGGTTGCTTCCCTGAGTACCTGGCCACTTGTTCCAGGGACCCACCACTGGAGTCAAAACAGCTCAGCAGCTTCCCTTCCCCAGGCATAGCCTGAGGCCATTTTCTGCCCTTTATAGGCCCAGCCTAGCACCCTTGAATTAGTTGGATTGGGCTCACCTGCTCTGACACAGGGGAGCTGGGCCTACCTTTGCTCACAGGGACCAGGTTCTCTGTGACAGGTGGTATAACTACACACTGCTCCTTCTTGGCAATTTTAGTTTTCCTCAGTTCAGCTGTGTTTTGCCATTTCCAATTCTAGCCCTATCTATGCTTGAAATGGCAAAAATAATTGTTGTTAACATGTTTTAATTGATCTTTGCACTTTGCTTTTGATGTTTAAACATCTAATCCTGTAAGGGCTAGTGCTTCAGAACAGGGCTCTAGATTTGTTGGACTGAAATCCCTGGAGGCCTGCAAAGTTCACCTACCTTTCTAAAAAGGTATTAGTATTATTACAATAGCACCTGGAGGACCCAACTATCTCAGGGCCCCATTGTGTCAAGATTGTACAGAGACACAGTAAAAGATGGCCCTTGCCCCAGAGAGCTTCCAAACTTAGATTAAGACATGTTAGAACAAGTGCATGAAACAAATAGGGGAGTAACTCTATATTTTAACCCTTCTCACCTTAACCCTTCCCTTCCTGTCCCCAGAGACTGGTAAGAGTTTACTAAGTTTACTAACATGTTTTCACTTTGACATTTTTTATTTGTTCTTTGTGCTAGAATATCAGCTTTCCAAATTATGCTTTTCTTGGTCTTTACAAAAAGATGTCAAGGTTTAATATTGGTACTTTCATGTTTCTGACACCAAAGATTTACAGAACAAGACCATGCATCTTTGGAGGTACAGTCAGGCCTGCAAAGAGCCTGGTAAACTCACCGTAGGTAAAAATGCTCCGAGACACCCTAAGCTCACAGTGAATGACAAATCTGGGTTTCTGTCTTTTTGGAAACCTTCAGAGCCTTGATCTGACAAGTATGAGATTAGTTGTCATCTTTAAATCATGTCAGCCTGAGATCA